GTCAGGAGTGCCCTGTGGTGGGCAGGCCTGAAAAGGAAGCCGACTTGCAGGAAAACAGAGGTCCGGGAGACTGAAGGGCCAATGGCACCCAGGATAGTGCTGCTGGATCCAACTACACCTGAAGCTAAAATAGACTCAGACTCTTTATTCCCATGAGTCAAATAAATGCCCTTTTAAAACTGGCTCAGCTCTGCTAAGTCCCTGACATAGGGGTTGTGACTCATGTGACTTTACATCCAATGGCATCTCCTTCCCACGGCTCCTTGGCGGCTCCTCTGACCCTCCACTCGGCTGTTCTTTGCACCCATGATGCGCGACTCTGTCCCCAGCACACACAGCATCCGCAGAGGAAGCAGCTACAGTCGACCCGACTGACGGGATCACTCAAGCCCAGGGACATCACATGCCCAGCTCACATACCTGGCAGTGTGCACCCGTGCCCCAGCGGCAGGCTCAACCCTGCTACGTGGTGCCACAGGAGACTCACGCTGGGAAATGACTCCTAAACCTAGCAGTGTCATGGACAAGCAGCACCCCGGGCTCCGGCCCAGGTGGCACCGACGGAGGACGGCTTTGGAGTTGGAATGTGAGCCAGCCACCACACAGGCACAGCCTGCCTGGGCTCAGCCACCACAGGACAGCAGGCAGACGGCATCTCCATTTTACACTCGGGGGAGCCAGGGCACAGAGAAGTCAAGTAACTTTCCCAAAGCCGCACAGCCAGTGCAGAGTGGTGATGGAGCCCAGCCGTCTGGCTAGACAGCACCCAGCCTCGCCCCGACGCTGGAGTGTTTCGAGATGTTCTGAAAAGGCAGAGAGTCCTTCAGAGATGCTTCAAGCTTCTCTCCATGCTTCACCCGGCTTTGGGGGGCCTGATTGGCGTCTACCAGCCTCAGGGAGCCCCGAAAGGCAGTATCTTCCTGCCTGGCCTGGACCTGGGAGAGTGAGCAGGACAGTCCACGCCTGATGTTCTGGGGCTTGGGTCCCACTGTGTCCTTGACCTTCAGGCAGACGCCCGGCAGCAGTGATGTGGCGTGAGTGGAGCCGGAAGGGAAGCCCCGGTCAGCGGGCTCACGGCTTCCCTCGCCTGCTCCTGCCCGCAAGGGGAGCTGACCATCGCCGCTGCCCTGTCCTCGTGACGCAGGCGCACGGCTCCCGGGGGTGGGGGCAGCTTCCTGGGAGCCCTAAACACCGGCTGTGCTGTCCCCGAGGCCCTGGGTTTCGCGGCGACTCTGTGGACACTGGTCTTTCTCTGAGGCCCGAATTTCCCGCTTCCCTTCACAGTAATATTCCAGCTTCAAAAACCAAGTCCAGGTGGAGAGGACCCCGAGTGCAGGACCGGATGCAGGAGGGTGGCCGCTCGCTCTGTGTAAGGACCGCGGGGACTGCTGAGCCGTGCCCGCCTGGCCTGGGCTCCCTGAGTTTGGTCTTGGCCGAATTAAACCAGGGAACCCGGCAAAGCCCCTGGTTCCGGGCCTCCCTGACCAGAGGCCCCCACAAAGAAACACGGTGGCTGCTGCCCTGGACTCTCCCGGGGGAGGACGGCCACCAGCCCGATGGTCCCCAGGGCTCTTCCCAAATGCCCTGAAAACAGACGGATGATCTGGGTCACTTACTAATTCATACGCCCCTGGAGCCAGCTCCCGGGGCACGTGACACCTCTGAGGAACAGCTCAGGTTAGATGCACGCCGGCAAGGCCCGGGGACGCCAGGGCGGCCGCCCCAGCCTTCAATCAAGGACAGGGACGGGGGCCCTTCTCTCCCGGTCTTTTCTTGCTGGCCTCTGGGCCGGACCCTAATTAGGGTGGACGGCTCTTCTCCGCCCTGGGGCAGGAAGGCAGCCCGGGCTGTCTCCGTGGAGAAGTCGCCGGGCAGAGCTGCCGCATGGGTGAGCAGAAAATAGCAGGTGATGAATTTTTTAGGACCCCCCTCCGCGCGCCAGTTGTGCCGACTGTGAGATAATGGGCTGGCTGTTTGGGAACATGCATTATTGATCCCGCTCTGTCTCATGGCTTATAGAAAGCCATCGGCCCGACTGCCACCTCCCCATCCCTCACCTCCCGAAAGACAGCCTGGTTCCAAAGCCAGGTCTGCCGTGGAGGAGGCCCTGGCTTGCCCGTGGCGGGGAAGGCCGGGAGGCACAGGGCTGTGCCGTCCGTATCGCTGGAGGGGACAGACACGCCACAGAATATGCGACCCCAGGATTCAGCCTTCAGCCACGCTCACTCGCGTGTGCAGCGATCTAACCAACATGCCCCAGATCTGGAAGCAACTCACCACCCATCCCAGGAATCTGGTTAAGCAGAGCAGGGCTTCAGACTTGTGGGTTCAAATTCTGTTTAACTGCATTCTAGCTGTGCAACCTTGGACAAGGGGCTTAACTTCTCTGTTTCTCCATGGGCAAAATGGACAGAGCAGATCTGTACCTGGAGTCAGCCATGGTTTAGTTAGTTCTCCTTCTTACCCTCCCCGTGCACCCACAGCTCCTGTCCTCAGGTTGGCTTATTCTGATGGTTTTATTAAGAGTCGCAGATGCAAGGTTCAAATTGGATTCTGACACCAACCAGCTTGGCTGGCTGCTCAGTCACTCACCTGTCAGCTCCCGCCCCCACATCCAGACGTCGTCCTCGATTCTCCTCTTTCCTAACCTCCGATCCGTCCCTGCCTCTATCTCCCAAGCTCACACCGAGAGGGACCAGGTCTCACCAGCCATGGCTTCTGCCCCCCTCTGGGCCCGCGGTCACCTGCCCGGTCACTGCCCGGCTTCCTGGACAGTTTCTGCTCCTGGAATCTCATTCCACTGTAAGGCCCCAGGGATCTCGGGGGCACTTAGTGAGGTCCTCATCCTCCGCTGCTGTCCATTTCACTGAGACCAACTCGCCAGCCCTCCCCATGTCCACCAGGCCCCGCTGGCCTGGCCAGGTGGCTCCTGCCCTCCACTCCCGCCCCAGAGCCCTCCCTGTCCTGCAATGACACTGCCCAGTCCCCAGCCCTGGCACAGTGGGCTGCGCGGGGCGGAGGCCGCTGAGTATGTGCTGGGTGAGTGAACGGTCCTCCAGGGCCTCTCAAAGTCCCCAACGTCACCTCAGAACAGCCCGAAGGGCCTCGCGAAGGGAGATCAGGGGCCCTGAGGTCCAGGTGTGCCTGCAAGTCCTCGGCGCCAAATTCTGCTGGACCCCCACCCCGTGGCCGCGGCCCCCAGATGCCCTTATCACCAGCAGCAGCTCCTTCTGACCGCTGCCGGAGCCGGGCAGCACCTGTGTCCAGCTGTCAGCACAAGCTCAGGTCCTGACTGCTGCCTCCTGCCAATTCCTCTCGCACAGAGAAGGTCCTGAGAAGCGTCTGCGCGTGGCCCTCATACGGACCAGGGAGCCGCTGAGTTCTACACTAGAATTTCTTTGGCAGCTAAAAGACTGATTTGGCTTGTGAAGGTTTACCTGGCAAACAACATGCTGTGACGTTTGATGGTGGCCAGAGATAAGGGCTCGGCCCTCACCTGGCCAGTGACCACTCGACGGGCAGTCCTTCCCAGGATCGCAACGCCGTCTCTCTTTATGTTTTACCTCCCTTTTCCAGGCTCAGCCACCTCTGCCTTCCTGGTCCTGCCTCGGGCCTTTGCACATGCTATTCCCACTGGCTGGAACCCGTGTCCCACATTTTCACAACACAGGGTGGTACTGATGATGAGCAGGGAACAACGATAAGGCCAGCACTGAGCAGTGCAGTGGCCTCAAGCCACAGCAGCTGTGAGCACCTGAAAGTGGCTGTGCTGAGACACTCTGGGTGTAAAACACACATACATCATCAAAACCAGCTTAAAAGATGCAAAACGTGTCCTGATTTTTCATATTAGCGGCCTGTGGAAGTGACAGTAGTCTGGATACACTGAGTTAAACAAAACGTCGTTAACTGCACTGTTATCTTCATTGATCTGTCGTCCTGGGGATTGAACGTAGGGGCCCTTTACCACTGAGCTACATCCTTAGCCTATTTTTATTTTGAGAGAGGGTCTGGCTAGTGCCCAGGCTGGCCTCCAATCTGTGATCCTCCTGCCTCAGCCTCCAGAGCAGCTGGGACTAAAGGCGTGCGCCACCCACTGGGCTCAACAGTATCTTTTCACTTTTTTAAAAGATGTGGCTCTTAGAAAACGTGGAATGACACTTCTTATTTGCACCTGATCTGCATCTGTGGCTTGCATTTCACAGCTGACCTTTCGTCTGGGGTGGGGATGGGTCCCAGCTCCCTCCTTGGTACCAAAATCCCTGGAAGGTCCGGGGCTGTCTGTGAAATGGCCCGGTGTCTGCGTATGACCTAGATCACTCAGGACACCTGACTCAGTGTCACCGCTGGGTCACCAGTTGCTAGACTGTCCCGTTTGGGAACAACGTCAAGGTCTGTGTATACTCAGTGTGAAGCCAGCTCCCCTCCCATATTTCTGAGGAGTGGACCTGTGGAGAGGGGTGGGCTGCGTCTCGCAGGACAGCGGGGTTTGCACTGGAGAAAGGACACCCACAGCGACAGTGGACTCCGGGGGGAGGTGGCAGAGGTCAGGGAGTGGCCCGTGAGTCAGTGAGACCCGAAGGCAGAGTCTGGCCCCGGGGAACACAGGTCTGGCTGACCTTGGCCGAGGCCAGCTCTCGGGGGCCTCATTTCTGGAATTTCTTCCTCATATGAATCAAGAAGGGCACAGCTCGGGTGCAGAAGCCCGGGGTCCTAGCCCGGGGACCTCGCCTAGGAGGGGGAGGAGTGGGGGACCGCCTGTGGTGGCCGTGGACCCAGCCCAGGTGGATCGGGTGGGGAAAGAGGTGGGGATGAGGCCCTGGTCCTGGCCTGCGCAGGCCCCCAGGAGCGGCTCTGCGGAGCGGACCCGACCTGAGACTCTGCCGGGCGCTGCTCCGTGGCGCAGGGCGAACGCACTTGGACATGACCCAGCTCCCGGCCGCGAGAGGACCTGGGGCGCCCATCCCGCCGGGGGCCTCCCCGGGGCGCCTGCAGCTTACCCAGCTCCACGTCCTGGTCGTCGGTCAGCACCAGGATGATGTTGGGGCGGATGTTCCTGCGGTCCCTCTGGAACCGGCCCTTCAGGCGGTGGGGGGACAGGAAGGCGGCGCTGCCGTCCAGGAGCGGCAGGACGGTGGCGGACAGCAGGCAGAGCAGCAGGCGGGGAGGGGCCATCTCAGAGGGTCCCCGCGACCCTCCCGGGGCGAGGCTGAAGTGCTCTGCGGACGGTTTCTGCTCCCTCTTCACTCACGACCTGGGGAGGAGGCAGGAACCGGGTCAGCCCCGCGCCACCCAGTGCTGCTGTCGTCTGCCTGGTGGCCTGGGCGCGGCTGGCATGGGCCGCTGTCCTGGAGCAGAGCCCGTGGGCCCCTCTGGACTCTGGGGCCACCCGGCTGTGTGGGGACAGCCCTGGCCCAAGGTGGACAGCCAGCTCCTCTGATTCAACCCACAGACCTGGCGCAGAGAAGGGCAGTGGTGGTCCTCCCCAGGGCAACTGCAGGCCACCTGGCCTCTGCCCGGCACAGGGAGGGGACCACCAGGCGCAGGCTGCAGCGGGCCGGACGGGGCTGGACGGGATGGACGCCAGGCTGCCTAGAGCTACGCAGCTGGTGTCCCTGTCCCAGACCCGCCCCTCCCCTGAGTCCCCCGCAGCCAGCAGGTGAGCGGCCATCCTGAGAACCTGTCCCGTGGGCCCGACCCCGGCACCTCCAGGTGGGCACAGGGGCCTCAGGGTGAAGTGGCCGGTGGCAACAGGAAAAGGGGAGCTGGGGGGCTGCCGAGGGAGGAGTGAACTTTCACCTCCCACCGAGACCTCTCCTCCTCTTGACCCCAGGTCATGGGTCACAGCAGAGCTGGGGGGGCAGCAGTCTGGCTGCGCGGTCTCTGGCCTCACTAGCTCTCAGCCGCATTTTTACCTCTTGAAGAAATGCGCCTTCAAGCCCCATCCAGAGACAGACCAGGGTCTCGTTGATCAGAGAGCATATGGGTGTGTGCTGGGAAGACACCAAGCACCTTGGAGTTGAGCTGCACCACTTTGCCGTGACCTTGAAGGAGACGGTCTGTCCCTCCTGTCCATGGGGAGAGCCTGGCCACCACCCCAGAACCCCAGCTTTGGGCACCCAGCAAGGCTCCTCCGGGATTCTGCCTGCACCCTCTCCTGGGGACTGCATGTGGCTGGGGGGGTCTCCCCACCACCAGCTCCCGCCCCATCCTGCATGCACCCCCAGGGCAGCAGGGGATCCTCCCACAGTGACTGGACTGGGGTGAGAGCCACAGGGCCCCAAATCAGAAGGGGCACGTGCTCCCAGGCTGTGCAAGTTGAAGGTGCTTTTCACCTACAAGAGCCCTCCTGTATCTACCTGCCCAAGCCCCCCCACCCCCACCGCCATGGCTTACAGAATGAAAGTGAACTCCCTGCAGGCCTGGGGAACCTCTCCCTGACCCGTACTGCTCTCTAGCACACGGGCTTCTCAATTCCACCCCAGGGCCTTTGCACTCCCTGCTTTCATATAACTGCTAAGGGTTTCTTAGGGTCTGCATGATGGACTCAGTCTTCTCTGCCAAGTTAAGAGACTCACGTTAGCTCCTTGGACAGGACCGTCTAAGGCGGTGTCCCTGTCCCAGGCTCTCTCTGCATTTATCATCCCTTTATTTCCCTCAGTCACCCCCTGGAGGGGAGCCCTATGAGGGCAGAGATGGTCTGTGGTGGTCCCCGTCCCCGTCCCCTGTGTAGTGCCTGCCACGATTCTGCTGGAGTCCTGTGAGTCCTGCGGCTGCGGCGGCTGCTGAGCTGGGCAGGGCCACCCAGGAGCTGGGCCTCCGAGGCTCAGAGGCCGGCCACGGTGGCCCTGCCCCAGCCACCCTCCAGCCAGCCACTCTGGGTCCCCGGGCAGTGCTCTCACGGGACGGCCCCAGGCAGGGTCCAGGGCTGGGCACTTGGCCCTCCTGTAATGGCCACCTGCTCCGTCCTGAGAGCCAGGGCTCCTGGTGTGGGGGGACGAACCCCGGCCTCAGCCTCTTCACCTGCTGAAACCCGGGTCTCTGCCAGCCGAGCCCTGCAGGACGGTCTGCGGGGGCCTGTTCTGTGCCACCTCGTGCGATGGCGGAGATAGGAACTCAACACCTCTGTGCCTCAGTTTCCTCATCAGCAAACTGGGCGTGGAGGATGAGACCCGTCCCTCGCTGCTGAGGCTGGACGGCACAGGGAGGGTCCGCCTAAGCTTCACCAGGCCACGTGGCCACCCTGCAGCCTCCCTCAGTCCAGGACCCCCGCGACAGGCGCTACCATCCCCATCTCACCAGAAAACGGAGGCTTCTCAGGGCCCCACCAGCGCCCACAGGGAGTCTGCACCCGGGTCCCCCGACTGCCGGCGCCAGCTCCCCCAGCCCCCTCCCAGCTTCTCGCATCAGACAGCGCAGGGCCATCTCGCGGCTCTCGCTGGGAACGTCCCCAGGCACCTCTTCAGATGGCCTCATTTTAAACTAAAACTACGAGGCACATTTCTGAAGAAAGATCGTGCCCAGGCACCAGTGGAAACGACGTCCCTTCCCCGCCGAGCTGCTCACACCACGACGCAGGGCACAGGGGGGCCCTGCAAAGCCCCCGAGCGCTGTTCCCCAGGGCCCAGCCGCCTGCCCGGGCTCCTCAGGGAGGTCAGCGCGTTGAAGGGTCCATGTTCGCAGGGCCCCGGGCCCCGCCCTGAGCACCTCGCAGGCGCCACCCGCGTAACCCCGCAGCCACTCATCTGTCTTATGCCCGCTGGGTGGATGGCAAAGCCGGGCACAGGGAGGCAAGGCCACTTTCCAAGGTCATGTGGCAGAGAAGAGCCCAATCCCAGTGTGCTGGACGGTCACCCTGGAGCCAGCCCCGCCAGCAGGTCCCGAGAGCCAGCCTCAGCCTCCGCAGCGAGGCCGTAGGGGGCGCAGGGGGGAGGGGGGCTCCGGGCCGGGGGGGGGGGGGGGGGGCTGGGTCCAGGACAAGGTCCGCTGGGCTCTGGTCACACCCCCTTGGTCTTGGAGCCCCTCCTCCCGGGCGGGGGACCTCCCAGCCGAGCCCCTTCCTCCTGGATGGAGGCTGCGGAGAACGGGCTGACTTCTCCCTCGGCGCCCGTCACAGGTCGATCCCTGGCGAACCCCGGCTCGGCCCCTCCTGGCCTCGGCCAAAGAGACCAATTAAAGATGACACGAGGCTTCCGCCTCCATTTTCCCCTTCTTGGTAAAACACTCCAAGAAGCTGAACCTGCGGAGTCTCTGGCCACCCCGCGGCCCCCTGACCGCAGACCTCCAGCCCACGGCCGCCGCCACTCCCCCAGGCTCCTCGCCAAGGCCCCCTGGTCCCCTCTCTCCAGCCAGCAGCACGGCTCGGGGGACACCCAGGCTCGGGGGACACCCACCGTCCGGGCGTCCAGACAGCCCCCGCCTCTGGATCCACCTGCCCGCCTGCAGGGCGCAACCTCAGGTGCCCCCCACTGTGGGGAAACGCCCAGCCATCCAGGACCCGGGGAGACCCAGGTGGCTGTCCTCGGAGGACCCCCAAGTCCAACGAGAGGAGAGGAGGGAGGCTGCGACAGATCGGGGACAGGGACCCGAGGTGGGGGGCCCTGGGGTGTGCAGAGGTGCCCTGGGAGCGGGGCCAGGGCCTCCCAGGTGGCCCCCAGGCCTGGCCCACCTGTCGCTCCTTCCTTCTTGTACACTGCAGACGTCCAGCCAGGGCCTCCCGCGTGTGAGCACAGCACAGCGGGCAGGATAACCCCCCGGGTGGTGACGACAGTCTCCTTAGGCTCCCTGCCTCCACCCTCAGCTCTCACCCACAGCCAGAGGGTCCTTAAGACATCAGTGGGGCCTCCGCTGCAGGGCCTCAGGCCTCCGTCCGCAGCCAGGTCCCTCCGCCATCTGCCCCACCACCGCCGGCTTCATCCCCTCCCTCTCTCCTTGAGCCGGGCCAGCCCTACCCCAGGACCTTTGTGTGCTCTTCCCTCTGCCTGGAGCCTTCATCCAGGTTGCTTGATGGCCCCTCCTCACCTCCTTGCAGTGCAGTCTCTGCATTCCCCAGTCACGTCGGTCACCTCTGGCAACCAGCTATTTCACTGTCACTCTCCCTGCAGAATGTCACCTTCCTGGACGCGGGTTTTTACCAACATTGTTTATTTCCATATCCCAACGCCTAAAACAGGGCTTGGCTCCCAGCAGGTCCCGGCACATGGACTGACTTAGCAGAGAAATGTCTCCCTCCTCTGGCCATGGCCCCCGCCCCACCCCGTCATCGTGTCCCCTCCCCTCTCTCACCCGACTGTGGGGTGGACCCCGTGGGCCAGGGCAGCCAACGGCACCTTCCATCTCTCGGGCTCCAGCAACTGGCCCAGGGGGCACCAAGGGGGCGGGAGGAGGGGTCCCGGTGGTGGCTGCCAGGCACCGTCCCCGGCAGCTTGCTGGGGACTCACGGCGCCCGGAGGCAGCCCTGTCCAGGCTCCCTGATGTCACCTGCCCAGGGACATGGGCCACTCACGCCCTTCCACTTTGCTCTCCCTTTCTCGGAGGGCAGCATCTGCCCCCCACAGCCCCAGACTCATAAGGCAAATAGGCAGCACCCGGGATGGCATCTGGATGGGCCCCGGGGCCCACACGCTCACGTAGAAACCGAGGAGGAGACGGGACTGAGGGCAGTCGGGGAGGGCTGCCCGGAGGAGGCCTCAGGGTCAAGTCTAGAAGTCTCACAGGATCCAGTTCTGCACATCCACGAGGGGCGGTCCCGAACCTCACAGGCCGTCTGGGCGGGGGGACACACGCACATCTGTCTGCACATTGTCCGGCCGTCCCCTCTGCCTGGCCGCAGGCTTTCCCCAGCCTCCTCCCCTCTCTGGGGCAGGCAAAGAAAGGACAGTCCCCCCCAGCCCACCCTCCTAGCCCAGGGCCCCGGGGAGGCAGAGGACCCAGCTGCTCCCTAGGGCAAGACGGGGGACAAGGGTCCTTCAGAGGGAGGGGAGAAGGTGAGGTTTCAGGACGGGGCTCAGGATCTGGAAAGGAAAGGGGCTTAGAGTCGGTGGAAAGCAGCCCAGCCCCGGGGCCCGCCCCCCGCAGAAGTTACGATGCAGCAAGGAAGTCCCCAAGGCTCCCGGAGCCAGGCAGGGCTCACGGGACAGCAGGAAAGCAAGCCCTGACCTCGCGGCATAGACACTGTACAGCGTCCACGTATCAGAAGCCGCAAAGCCTCCAGCAGGGGCGGGAAGGGTGAGAAACGGGGCTGGCGGACCCGTG